GGGCGCCATAGACCTCCATTATTTGAATGTCAGCAGACAGCAAGAAGCCTCCCAGATCTCCAGATGCATTTGAGATATCAAAAAAGTACTCCAGAGTGTTGTTCAGCATGGGGGTGAGTAGAAAATGAAGGCTAATCATGTTTTGGCTGTACTATTCCTTTAATATTATAAAACTTAATTCTTTCTAGTGCAATTTAGTTATTTACTTTGTGAATTTCAGTTCCTACAGCAAAAATATAATTTAGAAGATCTGTTATTACAGTTATAACAGGAACAACCATATTTCCCTGATCTACCAAGGGAACAACACACAATAAATGTTAATACTACCTGCCATACTGAACTTTATAATTATAATTGAACTTTATTAATTTCACACTGAAGAAAATGACCTCTACATTTAACCCATCCCCTTGGCGTGGCGCCTGGGGAGCAGTGTGGGGTTAAGTGTCTAGCTCAGTGACCGAGAGTGGATGCTGTGGTATTTAAACTCAAAACTTTCAGGACCCAACTGCAATGCTTGGGTTCATTATGCCATCAATCCCCATTATTTATCTGTTTATTAATTAATTTTTTTATACTTTGTATAAACCTATGCATCAACTCAAGCAACAATCTTCTCCTTTGCCATCTTCCTCTCCTTTGCAGCTTTAGCACTGTTTCACAGTCTTTTAAACACATTCCCCTTTCTCTTTAATTTCTTCATTAAAATCTCTAGTTCCAGTTGGTTGAAACAGCGTATGGAATGATGTTGTTAAAGTTATTAACCACGTCAAAGTGGATGCCTTTAACTCACATCTGTTTGAGCAGCTACCACTGGCAGCACATTTCAGTGACAAGGACTGGGTCATCAAACTTGCTTACTTATGCGATATATTCAACCTGCTCAATGAACTCAATCTGTTACTTCAAGGGAAAATGACAACTGTCTTCAAGACGGCAGATAAAGTAGCTGCATTTAAAGCCAAACTGGAATTCTGGGGACGGCGAGTTAACACAAAGATATTTGACATGTCTCAAACATTAGCAGGGATTTTGGAAGAGACTGACCTTGAACCACCATTCTCACAGCTGGTGCACAATCACCTGTTTTGCTTTTAAAAGAGTTTGAGCAGTACTGCTCAACCACAAAAGACCCACGAACTGCAAAAGAATGGATCCGCGATCCATTTGTAAAAAAAAAAATGTGAATCAAGCCTGAATCGACACTGTGAGAAGTGTCATGATCTGCCCTGATAGCTCACCTAAATTACTCATGCCTTTCACCTGCTTAACTCTCTCCAGCTCACAATTATAATTAAGCAGGTTTCCCTTATATTGGGCTCAGTTCCAGCTATCATGGCCAGATCATTGTTAGCTTTCTGTTTGTTCCCTGATTGATTTCTATTAGTGTTCTGTCTGTCAGTTCTGCTTTAGGTTCATGTCCCTGTTCCAGTGAGGAGTTTATTCTTCAGCCAGTGTCCTTAGGTGAGTTAATTCCCTGACCAGTGGTGAGAGCATTTCAGCGTTTCCCTAATGATTCTATTTTCCTGCTTCCGCTTCCTCTCACCCACTGGCCCTGTCTGTCCCTGTCTCACCTGCCTGCCTGAACCTCTGTTGGACTGCTGCTGGATTCTGCCTGTCTGTGCGTTTCTGTCTGAGCTGGATGCTCAACGAACTGGACCCTGACTGAACCTGTCCTCCAAGCTGTGTTTCTGTCTGAGCTGGATGCTCAATGCACGGGACTCTGAACTTACCTTCGTGCTCTAATGGATTCCTGGAACCCGGATCTGTCCGTTCCTGAGTGGACTGTACTGTTGAACAAGGTAAGTGACTCACTCTAATTATCATCTTCTGTTAAGATGATCGTGGTCACTAACCTGTGTTTCTCTCCAGAGAATCAGTAATTGTTTGCGCCCCACACCTGCAGTTGCTGCGGTCGCATTTCCACAGCAACTTGTTTCTGTTTTATTTTAATAAACGTTTTGAACTTTTTGTATTTGTTTTTATGCCAGTCGTATGATTTTATTTAATTGTATTTACCCCCCACACTTCAAAGGCCAGTCCATGAAAATATTGTCTGACATGTAACCGGTCCGTGGCGCAAAAAAGGTTAGGGACCATTGATTTAGAATTTATTGAGCTAATTCATAGCAGCCATTGTGAAACCGAAAACTCAGTTCTGCTCATTTCTCCGTCAGCAGAACCTTGATCTCTAAATCTGTAAAGTCTCTCTTCTTGTTCCTCAAAGCCATTTCTATGAATGAACAGAGCCTGACAAGAACTAACAGACGTAGCAGTTGTATGGCATTATTGGCGCGGTAATTATGCAGATTTACATTTCTCATGAAAACATGCTCACAGTAGGTTTAGGAGGATCATTTAGGGTAATGCAATGAAGTTAAGAGTGTTTGATGAATCTGATGTGGTGCATTTGTAGCAGCCTGTGGTAAAAGAAAAAGCAAGAAAAGAAAAATTTATGACAAGACTATGAAATTGTTGTTGCATGAGGCCAATTGTTATTGAAGCTACTACTGTTTGGCTTGGCCTACCCTCATATACCACTGGTGATACTTCACCCCGAACTATCTATGCTCCATTACAGGCTGGTTTCCACACATTGAAATGGTTGATTTAGACCTGGACACATTCCTTCTGATCCAGTGACCCAATCGATCCCCAGCACAAGCAGCTTCAGTGCAACAGAAACCACCACCATCTGATAAGGGTGCTGATGATGTCAGACAAAACCATATTCCAAGACCTCCTTTGTGCAAGTCTGGCTTTGAAAAGTACATTTACCCTGTTACCCTGCACAAGCATGCTTGCTTAAAGAAAAAGCTTGCAGATCCAACAGCAGCATCACTATGCCTTTGATAGAGGTTGCTGGCCTCAACAGTGACCCTGTTGGAGTTTATTGTCCTTGGATCGCTAATGACATTCAGTCTACTGCCAAACTTCTCCCAAACCCTGAAGATCATAGAGAAAAGTTTGGGAAGGACCTGCCAATTCTGTGCAGCAAAATTTTCTTGACGAGGACAGGAAAGGCAGCAAAAATCAAAGTGATTGATTTGGCCCACCTGGCCTATTTTTCTGCTTTTAACATCAGAGTAAAGAATCCTGATTACACTCACAAGATAATGGTACATATGAGGTCGATGTTGCTTCTGTGCTCCTCGAAAAGAAACAATGACCTGCTACAATGAACAACTAGGTTTTGAAGGCTGTTTACGAGTGCCCTGATGAGTTAGTTGAGGAGTTATGTAATGCAGGAAAGATGGTCTTCAACAAACAATCTGGTCTCAAGTGCCCTGCTAAGCTGGGGAATAGGTGAGCTGCAAGTTAGCGTCTGCTCTGCAGCCACATTATAGATATATTCAGACCTGACATTGCTCCTCAGACAGGCCCCTCATATGTAAGAATGGGGTTTGCCATCAGTTTAGATAAGCTGACCCAACTTACCAGGCATGACCAGGAGGTTATTCAAGCCCGCAACAAGAAAACTACTGAGAAAAGTAACAAAAACCTCCCCTAGAACACCCTAACAATTTTTTCTGATGTGTCTCATAACCTCAAATACAAACATTTCCAATAGACAAACTGACTGACCAGCATAGAGGATTGAGGATCTTAACCTGATCATCAAATCAGCTGCTGTAAAACACAACATCAACAATTTCTGATAAGGACCTACTGTAGAAACCTCCACCAACCATGGGTCTTCTAATTTTTCTCCCCAGAACCCGGAAACTAGGAGTTAAAGGAATAATTTTAGCCAACATGGTAAAGGATCAGCCCTGAACATGATACATCACTACAGTTCCAATAACTGAGAACTCACCCTGTGGTCGTAGTTTCACCACAAATGGACGCAGTAGGTCCTGGACACCAGGGTCATTCCTCGGTATCATATTCATTGCTTCGTTGACCAGGTTGATGGATCGATCTATGCCAAACAGCTGATTTAGTTTTTCCGGAAGCTCCTTCTTAAATTTGGCAGTGAGTTTGGCCGGTGAGGTAAATTCAGGTTGCTCATCAAAAAAATCCACCATTTCCTTGTACTGAGTGTCATCCAGCTTCTGAAAGATTCTATCCATCGTGTATGTCCAATCATGTTGTGAGATATTTGACATCTGTGGTGTAGAAAAAGACAAAAATATCCATAAAAGGAACAAATTCAGGTAATTTCATCAACTCTGGAAATCATTGTCTGTTCTTCAGTCCGATTGCAGCTGAACCAGTAGAGGGATTCATCTGCAGGACTTAAAAGTCCACACCCTGATTAAAATGTACTGAGGAAACTATGGAAACATGAACCATAAAAACATTCTTCCAATACAATCTTAAAATTCAATCACTACTATGTTGCAGGACCTTATTAAAAATTATAATTTGACTGTACATCTCAGTCTAAAGCATTTATTTTATGTCATCATAAGGTGCAGGATACATTTTTGTGATTTTTCACTATTGTAAAATCTAGCTTAACTAGTACTGAAGAAAACCAGAAAAAAACCTTACCAAACTGATATACTTGTATTTTTAATTTGACTCATCATGTTAAACAGCCAACTCACAATCAAGTCGGCTGAACTTCTATATCTAATGTTTCAGTAGTTCATGTTGCCCTATCAGACCATTTGTTTCTTTACTTTGAAACAATTTTTTCCCACTGATCTAATGGCCTAAAGATGTTATAAGAAAA